ATTAAAAAATGAATAATTATAATCATCATTTTACATATAAAATTGATTCCAAACATAAGGTTACCATTATCTAATTAATTTAATTTTTTGTATAAATAATTCACTTGACAAACTTTAAAATATGAAGAACTTGAATCATTGAATTTGATCCCAAAAATGGGCCAACTGTTAAAACTGGACGGTCCAGTCCATATTTGTAAACAACAATGATACATCCCCTTAAATAAAATAGCTCTAATGACATTAATAGAGAGAGAGAGAGAGAGAGAGAGAGAGAGAGCTAATTTAGAGCTCTAAAAAAGGAGCACTAAACCAGTTCTATTGAACTGAAAATTCAAAAAAACAAAGAAAAAGACAAAAAAAGTAGACAACCATCACATCATGGGGAGGGGGGGGGGAGCTCCATATTTAGAGCTTCCAAGCATTTAAAAAAAAATAAAATAAGACACAAATATTACTATAACAATAGGGTCCACCCTCTGTTAAATTTCCTTTATTAGAACTCTAAATCATTTTTATATTTGTAAATAAGAGAGGAGACATTTTAACTTCTTGTACCAACCAGCCAAAACATCCAGAGGACAATCATAACTATAATAGAATGTGAAAATGACACTTGCATGCAAAGTTTTTATGATAAGAGCTTTTAATGGATTCACCTAAATTAGCTATTAGAGGAGGATCCTTTCTGTTTAGATTTTGAATTAGGGGGTGTTATTTGAGTCCTTGGAGTTCATTATAAATTCCATTTCGATGAACCAAATTCAAGTTTAAGATAAAAAAAAAAATTAAAAATTAATATTTTTTTAAAATAAATTCAAATTTCAAGTGAATGTTGATTTATCTTTAATTGAGTCCATTACGAGAAGAGGACAAACAATTTTATTTTTATATAGTTTAATGTGCATATAAGCTTAATGAATCAAATACAAGTTTAAGATAGAAATTCAAAAAACTAATATATTTTTTAAATAAATTCAAATTTAATTTATTTACCAAACAATTTCATCTCTAGCAAATTCCAATAAATTAGATACAACTGGAGCTTTGGTGACTTGGTTATTTTATGACCCTTGAAAATATTTTGTGATGTGGTCCATTTCGTTAGTAGATCAATTTCTAATTTTTTCATACAGATCTTCCAAAATTTTCATAATATCTATATTTCTCATAAAATATTTTTAAAAAATAGCAATTCAGGCGTAAATTTGATGGGGAAAAAAAATTGAGATCAATGACAAACTTTAATAATTAAAGTTATAATTTTTTTTATAGATCTGTAATTAATTTAAGAAAGTATATTAATTTGTAATTTTCCAAATATTTTGAGGTTATGTTTTCTCTGAAGTCTGAGGTTCGAAACCTTCTAGATGCATAATTTTTTTACGTCAATCTATACGAGACTTTGTCTATATTTTAATTGGATCTCTTGCCTGTGGATGATTGGAATAGTCACCCAAATTAGTCTTTCTATTGGGCTGGTTAATAAGTTATCAAAATATATATAAAAAAATTAAGGTGGAGTCTCCCACACAAACTTCCAATTACAGTCGCTCATGCTCTATATATATTGTAAAGGGTTTGGATTGCCTCTTATTGGTCTGGACAATCCAATTTGGTCTACTGTAAGCTCATTTAGGGTTTATTTTAAGGGAGTTTTTTTGATAAATATTTTTTTATGAGTTTTATTTCATCTAATTCATATTATTTTTGACTATTTCATTAGGTCTTTTTTGAGGTAAAAAAACCAAAACACCCTCAATCTCTTCTACCCCTATTAATGTTGATATTTAATGTTGATTGTCATTATATTTTGGTAGTTTCTATGCATCAATATATGTTGACTATCATTATATTCATATTAATTTGAAATGAATTTTTGTCATTGTGATGTCAATTAAATGATGTGAATATTCACATCATACAATTGTAATGAATATTCACATCATTATATTCACATTAATTTGAAATAAATTTTTGTCATTGTGTTGTTAATTACATGATGTGGATATTCATATTAAAACATACGAATGTGAACGTTCACATCACTATATTAGATGAGAGAGAATGTTTACATGTTATGAATGTTCACATCACTACATGTTGTGAATTAAAATGTGTTGTCAATTAAAAATATAATTAACGTTATTTTAATGTGTTGTCAATTAAAAATAAGAAAGTTCACATGTTATGAACGTTCACATCACTATATTAGATGAAAGAGAATTTTTTGGAAAGACGTTGTGAACTTCACATCAGATGAGACAAGATATTCACATTATTTTTAATGTGTTGCCAATTAAAAATATATTCACATCAGATGAGAAAGAATGTTCACATTATTTTTAATGTGTTGTCAATTCAAAATATATTCACATTATACAATAATATAAAATAATAACATCAATATTATTTAATTTGTGTATGAAATTTTCTATGCCTTGATCCTTTCCTTTCTCTCTCCTTCCCCAACATTAAATATCAATATTAAATATAAGAGTATAAGAGTCTAAGAAAATAATATAAATCAAGAAAAATGACTTTATAGAATAAAAGTATAAATACATAAGACTAAGTAGGTTAAAAAATTTCTTCATAGACTTTTGTGTTAAAACACTTCTAAATGAGATTTATCAATAAAAAGCCCTTATTTTAATGATTCGAATTATTTTATATAGTTTGCTTAGAAGATCATCCATGTTAGAGATCAAATTAATCAAATATCGATAATCACTTAATCAGATTACATTTGCTTAAAAAATAGATGATCTACTTCAAAATCATACTTTTTTTATTAATTATTTTTCAAACAAATGTGATAAGATCAAATGACTTCTAATATCCAATCAATTTAATTTTTTTTGGCATGGATAATCATGAGCTCAACAAGTTTTACAAAATAAACAATTCAAATTATTGATACTAGCATATTTAAAACAAAGGTCACGCACAGTACACAATCTAATTGACGTTGCATTGTTGGTACATGTATGATAAATGTATAGGCACGATCTTGGTATGACGCAATATAATCTCTAATTATTCTAACTCCAGTATCTTGTAAAATTTTGAAATTATAATATTGTGTTTGAAAAGGTAAGAATAATTTATTTATAATAAACTGTATAGCTTTGTACCTTTGATTTTATATTCTTCAAATATGATGGTTGACATCACAAGATATACTTTGTCCGTTTATCTTAAATAATGAGATTGAACTAGTATTGTCTTTGACCACAATGTTAACATTGTATCCAAAATAAATAAATAAATAAATAAAAATAATACACCCAATCATGAATTAAGTTAATTAATAGTTAAAAAACACAATCATTTAAAAAATAAATAAATACAGTGAGTTAAAAAATGCAATTAGAAAATACAATGTAATCATCATCATCAATGGTGGGTATTTTATGTGAACCTAATTAATACAATCCAATTTTTTTTTTTCAAAAAAGATAAATTCAAAATATAATTACCGTATTAAAAATTAAATTAAGTTCAATCACAATCACAAAATACAATCTAATCATCATTAATAGTGGGTACTTTATGTGAGCCTAATGAATGCAATCTAATTTTTTATTTTTATTTTGAAAAAACTTATATTAAAAATACAATCAAAAAAACATGAAGACACTATTTTTTTTTTCTTTCAAAAAACACAGATTAAATGGAATGTAAAAAATCACAATCATCATCATCAATATTGCGTACTTTATGTGAATATAATGAATACAATCAATTTTTATTTTTTTTCAAAAAAAACATAGATTAAAAATACAATCACCGTATTGAAAAATAAATTAAGTCCAATCACACTCACAAAATACAGTCCAATCATCATCAATAGTTAATACTTTATGTGAACTTAATGAATACAATCATTCTTAATCATCACTAGTTAATAGTTTATATGAACTTAATGAATACAATCATTCTTAATCAATTTAAAAATATAATCACCATATTAAAAAATAAATGATTTACTTACAGATTTTGAAATGTTTTCCTTCCAAGATTCTGTCTTAATCTCTCTCCAAAATTGCTGCGTAGGTTGCTGCCACTGCGTAAGGATTAGGCTGCTGTGATAGGTTTAGGCTTAGGCTGCTGCATTAGGTTTAGGTTATTCTCTCTCTCCCAAAGGTTTATGCAACTATGTTAGGTTTAGGTTATTCTCTCTCTTCCAAAGTTTAGGCTGCTGTGATGGGGTGATGAGAGTTAGGTTAATATCTATATATTATTTAAATCAAAGGGCGGGAAAGTTTTTTTTTTTTTTTTTATCAGAAAATTAAGGAATTATGATTGAAATAATAGAGCTCCCATAAGGTTTGTGAGTTAAAAAGACTCTTTTCCTTATATAATAGATAAGCACTAAATGAACCCACAATAGACTGAACTAGACGATCTTGACCAACGGGAAACAATTAAGTCCCATGTATTATAAACTTTATATGTTAAGAACACATTTGTTTGGGATATTAAGAAGGGGATTGAAAGTGGAGTGAATATGTGGGGTTCATTGGATTTTTAATTCGATATTTGAGTGTGGGATAAGAAGAATAGGATTGGAGATAAAAAAAAATTTAGGAAAGTATTATAACGATTATACCTCTTCAGATAATTGTTATTCTTGAAGGGAAAAAAATATTAAAATATTTTTATTTCATCACAATCAAAAATATTTTATTCCTTCCATCTAATGATTTATTCAATTTATTATCACATGGCATAACTTATCACTTATAATTTTATCTACAATCATATCGTATATTTAATTATTCTTCTCATCTAATTCCTTAATGTAACCTATATCCCACAATCTTATTAATCATCCATCGTATTTAACCACTGAAAAAATAATTCCACAATAAAATATAGTCTAAAGAAGCCATTGTGTGACATGTTTATGGACAAATACAAGGACCAATTAATGACATACCTACCCTCTAAACCAACTCACAGCTTTTCCACTATATAAAGGCTCAAGAGCCATGTATTTTTCTCCAACTCTTGCCTTCAGTTCTATCATCCATTGTTTGATAATACTTTGGGTTTGTTTGTGGGGAGGGTGATTGTTGAGATGGGTCTAACTGGTAAGTTGGTAAGGCAAGTAGAGATCAAGTCTGATGGTGATGTGTTCCATGAACTCTTTAGAGACAAACCACACCATATCTCCACCATGTCCCCTGGTAACATACATGGCGTTGATTTGCATGAAGGTGATTGGGGACATGTCGGCTCTGTCATTTCTTGGAACTATACTCATGGTAAGCCTGCACCAATACCAATTAACCCTAATTTAATGCCTTTCTGTTTGTCTCTGTCTTTTTTTTTTTTTTTTTCTTCTTATACCAAAGATAAGTGGAAACTTACAATTACGATTTTTATAAATTGTCGCTAAAATTTACAATAAATGACGTTTTCTGTGATGAATTTTTTAAATTATTGCTAAAAGTTGAAAATTAGTAAATTTTTTTTTTTGTAACGATTTTTTAAATTATCGCAAAAACTTATAATTAATGATATTTTTGTGACAATTTTTAAATTGTCACTAAAAATTAATAGTTAGTGACGTTTTTTTAATAATATTTTGTAAAAAAACGTCATCAATTATCGTAGAATCTATTGAGTAATAAATTTACTTATTAGAACCTACGTGAAAATAGATAAAGAACGAATTTGTTGTCAATAATAAAGTTCAGGTCCTGGTCTCTAAGTGCCTTAGTCCATAATCTACTGATTGGTAGGTTTAGGCCTTGTTTGACAACCTTCAGTTTTAGTCAAAAAGTTATTATAACTTGCCACATCGCTCTCTCTATTTTTCTGTACATTTTTTCATAAAAAATTAAAAAATTACTAAAATAGCTTGTTTCTAAAGGAGGTTTTAATCTACTCGGTGATGAATGGATTGGACTGCGATAGTCGAAATTAGGTTAGACTCAACCGACTCAAAAGGCCAGCCCAATCATTGATGGGGAATGAAACTTAGGTTGTGTTTGATTGGAGGATTTGACGTAGGAAATAGAAAGAGAAAAAGAAATAAAAAGAAGATGATAAAGAATTGATACGTTTCAAATTTCCAGTTATAGATAAAGTCTGATGGTGATTTGTTCCATGAACTGTTTAGACACGAACCACACCATATCTCCACCATGTCCCCTGGTGACATGGTGTTGATTTGCATGAAGGTGATCGGGGACATGTTGGCACTGTCATCTCATGGAACTATAATGAAAAAAATGAATTTATATATGAACCAGCATTTTGTGTTCTTTTAGACCATGATCTTGTGAATCTAATGGTGTACTCATCATCTCTCTTATACAATCTCATTCTTAGGTGTCAATCATATAATTCTTACTTAAGTTTTAAATATCAGTTGTTTTGTATTGTAACATCAGTTACATATTAAGATTTTGGATTTTAATATTGTTATTTATATATAGGTTAACAATGTTTGATAATGATTGATTTATGAGCAAATCAATTCATATCCCGATAGTTATTTAAAATCGTAGAAATATATATGTTGTTTCATTGATCATTTAAAAAAAAAAAATCAATTACTCATATTCACATAAATTGCTAATAATACAAAACTGATAAAAGTGTAAGTTCCAGAGCTCCCTCTACAGCTCACAAACAGATTGCAGAGCAGCCCTCCAGCCCAAGCTCACAACAACAGCAGTAGTCCTTATACTAATGAAAACAGAACTAGTGGAATTGGTTAGCTTAGACATTTAGATATAGTTAGTTACAGAGAGGTAGATATAGTTAGTTAAGAGTTTGTTATAACAAACTCTTACCCACTTGTATAAATCCTTGTAATCAAGTTGTTATTGTATGAAATTTAGATCATTCTGTTTCTTTTCATGGTATCAGAGCCTTGAGCTCTCACGAGCCTCAAAGTGCTTCAATGGCAAATTCTTCCTCCATTCCACAGAACCTTTCTCTTCTACTTTCAAATTTCAATTCCTTCATAACTGTAAAGTTAGATTCTGCAAATTTTCTGATTTGGAAAAATCAAGTTCAAAATATCTTAAGAGCAACTGATCTTCTTGAGTTTGTTCTTGGACTGAAAGCTTGTCCAAACTCTGAAGTTCTTGATTCATCTGGAAAAACTGAAGCTAATCCAGAATTTCTTCAATGGAAGACAATGGATGCTCATCTACTCAGTTTTCTCACTGCTACACTGTCATCACCTGTATATGCTTCAGTGATTCAATATCAACACTGCTTTGAAGTTTGGCATGCTCTGGAAAAGCGATACACATCTCTCTCTCGTTCGCATATTCATCAATTAAAGAATAAATTGCAGTCTGTTACGAAAAAAGGATTCACCATGACTGAATACCTGACTCAAATCAAAGAGATTTCAGACCAGCTTCGGCTTGCTTCATCAACAATTGACGATGAAGATCTTGTCCTCTTAACTCTGAATGGCTTACCAGAAGAGTATGATGCACTTAAAACAACCATACGTGCTCGAGTGGAATCCATTACAATGGATGATCTGTGTTCACTCTTGTGTTCTGAAGAAATTCATGTTGAAAACAAGGCCAGACTTGTTGTTTCTGCTTCTCCAGTAGCTTATGCTGCAACCAAAGGTTCTGAGATTTCACAGTCCTCTCCTCAATATGCAAAATCACATTTTACCAATCCTTCTAGTTACAGAGGTCGAGGTCAATTTCGTGGTTATAGAGGAGGACGAAACAGAGGCGGACGGTTTTATAAGCCTCACAGGGGACGGTCTATTTCCACCAACAACAGTGGTTGTCAGATCTGTGGAGGTTATAATCATAGTGCCTTTGACTGTTGGTGGAGAATGGATCCTAACTTTCAACCTCTCAATTCCAATTCTTCCTCTCAATCTTCACCTCAAGGTGTGTCTCAACCACACGCATATTCTGTTACCAGTGCACCAACCACTTCCTCCTCTGCTTCGTCTACTCCTTGGTACATTGATTCTGCAGCTACAAACCACATCACTAATGATCTCGCAAATCTTCATCTGTATCAACCATATCAAGGTCAAGATCAAGTCACTGTAGGTAATGGTCAAACTGTTCCAATCCAGCACATTGGTAAGGGTTTATTACCTACTCCTCACTGCTCTTTTCGTCTCAATCATCTTCTTCATTCACCACATATTTCTTCCAATTTACTATCTGTTCATCAATTGGCCAAAGACAATAATTGTTCAGTTACTTTTGATGCTGATTCATATTTTATTCAGGACAAACATACGAGAAAAATTCTTCATAAAGGACCTGCAGTGAATGGCTTATATCATTTTGGTGTATCACCATCTTCCTCTTTCTCTCAGGCTCATATTACTCAGTCACAAGTCTCTCTACCAGTTTGGCATCAGAGACTTGGTCATCCATCTCCTTTGAAATTTCATCATATTGCTAAGCATCTACCTCATGTTTTTCGAAATAAAGAGTCCAGGAACTTTGTTTGTACTCCTTGTAATGTTGCTAAAGTTCACAAGTTACCTTTTAAATTGTCTAGTACTGCTGCTAGCCAACCATTTTCCCTTGTTCACTGTGATGTATGGGGACCTTTTAATTCATCATCTACTAGTTACAAATACTACTTGTTGTTTGTGGATGACTTTACCAAATTTACATGGATCTATCCTCTTCATGCTAAAAGTGAAGTATTCTCCACTTTCTTACACTTCAAAACTTATGCTGAAAATCAATTTTCTACTTCATTAAAAATTTTACGAACAGATAATGGCACTGAGTTTGTTAATAAACAAATGCATGATTATCTTGTTACTAATGGCATTCTTCATCATCTTACCTGTTCTTATACTCCTGAACAAAACGGAGTGGCTGAGCGCAAGCATCAACACATTACTGAAACTGCAGTTGCTTTGTTATATCAGTCCTCTGTTCCTCTTCAATTTTGGTTTGAAGCTATGGCTACTGCAGTTTTTCTCATTAATAGGTGAATCCTATTTTCCATTCACTGCTCTTTCCTCCACTTCTTCTAGCTTGCCTTCCCTTCAATCTTTCTTTTCTCCTGGTTCTATTTCTTCTGCTCCTATTGCTTCTTCTCCTACTTCTTCTCCTATTTCCTCCGTTTCAGTTCCTTCATTCTCTATTCCTCCTCCTACTTTCACTCCCACTGTTTCACTCCCATCATCTTCTTCTGTTTCTGTGCCTACTCATGCTTCTCCTCTTATTTCCTCTTCTCTCCATTCTTCTCCTATTCCCATTGATTCCATTGCTATTCATCTTCCTCTTTCTTCACCTGCTGCTCCTCTCAATACTCACCCCATGGTCACTCGGTCCAAAGCTTGTCACCTTACTACCTCCTCTTCTCTTGATCTCTCTACTACTGAGCCTCTCTCTACTCATCAGGCTTTATTGTCTCCCCTTTGGACTGCCGCCATGAATGATGAATTTCAGGCCCTTCAGCAGCAACGCACTTGGACTTTAGTTCCCTTACCTTCTAATAAAACCGCAATTGGTTGCAAATGGGTTTTCCGGATTAAGAAAAATTCTAATGGCACTATTGCTCGATACAAGGCTCGTTTGGTCGCCAAGGGCTACCTCCAGCAAGAAGGTGTTGATTATCAGGACACCTTCAGTCCTGTCGCTAAGCAACCAACCATTCGGATCTTATTATGCCTTGTGTTGCAGCGGAATTGGGTTCTCAAGCAGTTAGACATTTCAAATGCTTTTCTCCATGGCAAATTGGATGAAGAAGTTTACATGACCCAGCCTCCAGGTTTCATTAATGCCTCTTCTCCTACACATGTCTGCAAACTTCAAAAAGCCTTGTATGGGCTCAAACAAGCTCCTCGAGCTTGGTATTCGACTTTCTCATCCTTTCTCATTACTCAAGGGTTTCATCACAGTCACTCCGACTCCTCTCTGTTCATCCGCCAGACTTCTGCTCATCTCACCATCTTGCTTATCTATGTGGATGACATTTTAGTTACTGGTAGTGATTCTTCTGTTATTCAGTCTTTGCTCCATCACATGCATGTTGCTTTTTCCATGAAGGAGCTCGGTGATATCTCCTATTTTCTTGGAATTTCAGTTCTTTCCACCTCTCCGGGTTACTTTCTTTCTCAGCCGAAATATGCTACTGACTTACTTCATAAAGCTGGCATGCTAGAGTGTAAACCTTGTTCAACACCTATGGCCATTAAGCCTTCCTCCTCCACTTCCGATGATCTCCCTTACTCTCAGCCTCAGCTTTACAGGAGTCTAGTTGGTGCTCTTCAGTACTTGACCATCACTCGCCCAGACATTTCATTGGCCGTCAATCATGCTTGCCAGCATATGCATGCACCCACCATTGCGCATTTTGCCCTGGTTAAACGCATTCTTCGCTATGTGAAAGGCACCCTCACTCATGGTCTTCGCTTTACTCCTGGGCCCTTTACTCTTCATGCCTTTACCGATGCTAATTGGGCTGGAGATTCTCTCGATCGCAGGTCTACTTCTGGGTTTTGTGTGTTTTTAGGACCCAACCTCATCTCTTGGTCTACTAAAAAGCAGCCAACAGTTTCTCGCTCATCTACTGAGGCTGAATATCGGTCCATGGCTTCCACCACTACTGAACTTGTTTGGATACAACAACTGCTCAAGGATCTTTGTATTTCTTCTTCTACACCTCCTGTCCTTTGGTGTGATAACATTTCTGCCATGGCCTTGGCTTCTAACCCTGTTTTCCACTCCCGTTCGAAGCATATCGAAGTGGACTGTCATTTTATTCGTGAGCGTGTTGCTTCCAAGCACCTTTCTCTTGCTTACATTCCTACCTCTGACCAGGTCGCTGATATCTTCACTAAACCTTTAACTTCAGCCAGATTTCACTATCTCAAAGCCAAACTTCTGGTGCTTCCACGCCCCATCTGTTTGCAGGGGAATGATAAAAGTGTAAGTTCCAGAGCTCCCTCTACAGCTCACAAACAGATTGCAGAGCAGCCCTCCAGCCCAAGCTCACAACAACAGCAGTATAGTCCTTATACTAATGAAAACAGAACTAGTGGAATTGGTTAGCTTAGACATTTAGATATAGTTAGTTACAGAGAGGTAGATATAGTTAGGATTATTAAAAATAAAAAAATAAAACAATAATAAAAATAAAAAATCTCACATTTAGGCCTTGTTTGGCAATTTATTGTTTTAGCTTAAAAGTAAAAAATGTACTAAAAAAATTAAAAAACTGACGATCTATATTAAAAAGTCAAAGATTCTATTTGTTTTTTTTCTATTTTTTGCACATCTTTTCGTACAAAACTAAAAAATTATTCCAAATATATTAATTTTTTTAATCTCATATTTTAATCAAAAAAATTAAAAAATTAGAAAAATAATTTGTTTCCAAACAACACCTTAATCTATTTCTTGAACCGGGTAAATTTTTGGATGATGGTGTAGATAGGAAAAAGAAGGTTGCCAAGGAGGTTGTCGAAGCAATAGATGAGGAAAACAAGTCAGCGACGTTCAAGGTTATTGATGGAGATCTCACAGAGCTGTACAAGGCATTCAAAGGCACTGTCCATGTCGATGCGAAGGGCGAAAACAACTTGGTGACCTGGACTTTTGAGTATGAGAAGAAGAGCGAGAATGTTGAAGATCCAAATACGTTGATGGATTTCCTCATCAATGTCACCAAAGATATTGAGACTCACCATCTCAAGTAATAGACACCTTCGGGTGTGTGTGTGTCAAATGTCAATCTTATCATCTAATAATTGCAGTGTGGTGAAGCTTCTAAGTAAGTGTGTAAGACAAAATAAATAAACAAGTATATAAATAAGTTAACTCTTTTCTCTAATAGCTTAAGTTGCAGAGGGTATTATCAATTCACGAATATCGTGTATTTAGTTCCTAATATTTAATAGCTTAAGTTACAGAGGGATAAGCATAAGTTAGAATGCCCTCTTCAATAACTTAAGTTTTTAAATGAATTGACTGGTAACAATTTACATAAATATCTATTTTGTGGCTACTTTTGTATCAGTTAATATTGTAATTTATTTGTTAATTTTCATGGTGATGAAGTTTTTATTAGTAGAATTCTCTCTATCTCTCTTTGTTAATCTCTCATGCAAAAATAGACATATATATGTGTATTTACAATCTTTTTTCTTTTCTTTATCGGTAAAAATCAATTATTAATTATTAAATTAGCTCTTAATAAGAGTTGAACTCTCAACTTTTCATTTGCAAGTATCTAACTGTTGTCTTCATGTCACTGGGTCACAAAGTCATATATTTTATTAAACATATTGAATATGCATTCTTACCATCTTTAATTATTTCTCTTGAAACCAAACATGATATATTACATTTGATTTTTTTCACACACTTTGAATGTATGTCAACAAAAAAACAAAATTTTATTGATACAAAATACAGAAGACCACAACTTTGAATGGGATCAATAAAGTTTTTATTGGGGTGTAAACCAATTGATTGTTTGAGTTAGCATAATTACTGAGAACTCATTAAATAATTCTATAATTGTGTTGTTTGCACATAATCTATTTACCTAATAGATGGCATAACAGTTTTTTTCTTTAATTAAAAAAAAAGAAGAAGAAAGAAAGTAGAGTGGAAATAGGGATGGCAATTTGAACCCAGCCTGACGGGGATCGAACCCCTGACTCCAGTTAGAACGGGTTTTTCCCGAAAATTATCCCCATAGGGCCAAGGATGGTATTAAAAAATTAAATCCCCGATGATTTTTGAGCCGAGGACGGTGATAGGTAACCTAATATCTATCACAAGTTATCAACTCTCTCTCTCTCTCTCTCTCTCTCTCTCTCTCGTTCTTCTCCTCTACTCTCAATGAGAGAGATGAATGAGCATGAGCACCTTCTAGATCTAAGCCGCGACGGAGAAGTCTAGAGACAGATCGGCGACAGAGAGCTCCTTCCAGATCTGAGCCGATGAAAATTTTTGAGCACCATTGTCAGTCGCTGATCGCACCACCGTCACCGACACCACCACCACTCTCTCTTTCTCACACCTCCGTTTGCTGCCTTGTCTCCAGATCTACTGCCATTGTTCTCTCATTGGTCGCCCTCTAACCATCTCTCACTGTTCTTTCGATCTGAGATAATATATATACACTGGTTCTCAAGATCTTCACTATATCAACATCATTGATATAGATATAGATATATTTTGTTGTTGTTGATATTGATGATGATGATCATTGATGATGAATTTGTAGACTGTGTTGATGTTGATGATGATGATAGCTGCTGTTTTGCTCTTCTTCTTTTTTTTTGTAGCCGGGGAATTTTTGGGGTTAGGGAAACCCGATCCCAGTTAAGGGGCGGGGGTGTTGATGGAAATAAGTTCCCCATCGGGGGTCGGGGGTATTTTCACCATCGGGGATCGGAGACGAGGAGTGTAATCCCTGCCCCGTTGCACCATCAGGGATCGAGAATGGGAAGCGTGATCCCCGGCCCTGCCCCACCCATTGCCATTCCATCGTGGAAACCATATGCTACTATGTAGAGCTCACAAGTGAAATCCATTCTTCTTTGTGGATGAATTCTGCAAAACTAATTTTATTCCTAATTCAATGAAATTGTATGAAGCACAGGTACAAGTACTGGGGTACTGGTACGATATGGTAAAATATAAAATAAAAAAAATAGGGTACGGGTACAGGTACGGGTACGACTTTGATACGTTTATAAATTTTTTTTTTTCATTTAAAGTAATGCAAAAATTAATTAAATGGTTTAATTTGTTAAGATCCAACCTATAATTAACATTTAATACCAAATGTAAAGGTATAAATCAAAATTAAATATCAATATATAAAATAACTTACAAACCATAGTTTAATTTTAAAATCATACTATATAAAACTAAAAATAAAAAATAAATCTAGTAAAAGGAGTATTATCTCTATAGTAGAAGAAAATATTGTTTCAACTGAGGTATGGTATGACTTGGATATGCATTAGGCATGTTTGGGTATGCCCAAAATTGAGAAGAAAAAATTTGAGTATTTGTTCTATGTACCCAGTATATATGCAGAAGTACCATATGAGGTACCATACGCCGGTAAGTACTCGATACGAGTACGATATGTTTTTCGAAGTACCTGTACTTCATAGATGAAATCCATTGAAATAATACGAAGGGAAATATAAATTTTAAAGGGCTAATTGCTTTTTTAGTTATCAAATGATGGGGTTTGTATCATATGGTACACACCACTCAAACGGTATGCACCATATGTACTTTATAATTAAAAAAAAAGAATAGTATAATTTCATACTTTTTGAATTATAACTTAAAAAAATAAATAAATAAGTCATTACTAAACACGAAAAAAATCATAACTAAATATTTCAAAATAATATCATAACTAAAAAATAAAATTTGTCATAAAGAAAATGATATAACTAAGAGTACATATGATATGAAAGTGTGTATAATAGAATTCTCCATCATTTTGATCCCAAATAATTAAATTGTTTCAATTTAATTTTCAATGTATAGAAAATGGTTAGATTTGGTCTCCAAATCTAACTTCTTTGCAGATATGTATTTAAGTTCGTCACAAATAAAAAATACACTTAAAAATTTTAATCTTTTAATTCCCAAACTAATAGATAGGTGTGAATAATTTATTTTAAAATTGGATTAAGGCCTTGTTTGGGAACTTTGTATTTTAGTAAAAAATTCAAAAAGTCATTATAAGTTATTACATTACTCTCTCTACTTTTCTATATATTTTTTCGTAAAAAATTAAAAAATTATTAAAATGGTACAGTTTCACCACTTTTTTTTTTTTTTATTCATCAGGCTGTCACTATGTTTTTTTGGCATGATAAATTACACTTTACTCTAAACCCTAAACTCTAAAATAAAAAAAAAAGTTTTAAGAATTAAACCTAAACCCTAATCTCTAACATAAAAAGATAAATTTTAAAAATTAAATCCTAAATCCTAAACTCTAAACCCTAAAATAAACAAAATAATAAATTTTAAGAATTAAACCCTAAAACCTTAAAAAAAATTAAAATTAAATCTAAACCCTAAACCCTAAAATAAAAATAAATAAATTTTAAGAATTAAACCCAAAACCCTAAAATAAAAAAAATAAAAAAATTAAGAATTAAACCCTAAATCCTAAACCCTAAACCCTAAAATAAGAAAAAATAAATTTTAAGAATTAAACCCTAAACCCTAAAATTAAAAAAAATTAAAAAATTAAAGAATTAAACCCTAAAATAAAAAATAAAAAAAATTTATCCCTAAATCCTAAAATAAAAAAAATAAATAAATTTTAAGAATTAAATCTTAAATTCTAAACTCTAAACCCTAAAATTAAAAACATAAATTTTAAAGAAAAAAATAAGAAGATAAAACTGTACTGTTTTACAGCACAGCAGAAACACAGTAGAGAGGGGGCACAACAGTGACCCCGCTCCCACTCTTTTAGTCCCCAGAGTATATTTGTGTCATTTTACCCTTTCAATAAATGAAGTTTACAAATTGATACCAATAGAGTTATTCCTTTCATCAATAGGTCAATATCAAGTATCAAAAATTTATTAGGAAAGTGACAAAGAGCTCTAACATTAGAGTTCTAATATTAGCTCTAGTGAGATGTCACATAAAAAATAAAAAGATTAAAACATCACAGCTGCATGTGGGGCTTACCATTAGAGCTTTATTAAAGATTTCAAATTAAAACTCCCAAATATTATTGCATTTATTAATGAACGTCATATCAATTTGTAAGAAATAAAATTATATAAAAAAAATTTATTTATAGAGCATTTTTTCCTTAATGGACGACACCTTTCTATACTTGTGAAAATGTGCTAAATATATCTCACATATTTGGGTCCTTAAAGAAAAAAAATTGAATGTAATTGCACTATGTTTGGCTTGTAGAGTGAAAATGAAGAAGAAAAAATTGTGGTCTTTTATTTAGATGAGAAAAAAATTGTATTTTTTCCACTGTCATGCTTTGATAAAGTGAAAGAGCAAATTATGTACTATAAAGATATAAATTCTTTTTATTTTAATAGACAATCTCAATATTATAGGGATTGGATTCTCAAGTTGACTTGAGTGAACATTTGGACTTGGTAGGCCCATTTTAAGGCCAATCTTAGTAATTCAAGTTGATCATTTTTTAAGACTTATTGAGTTGAATATTCACACAAAAAATTAAGATGATCAGTTATCAATAACTATAAATTTTAATCACATTTGTTTTAAAAAGATAGACAACAACTTTAATTTTAAGAGTAGCCATATATTTTTTATAATACGAATGTGATATATAGCTCCTAATATTTGATTATCTTAATTTATATATATATATATATATATTCTACTCAACGAGCATAAATAAATTTTGTGTGTGTTTTGCGCTAAAACATTTAAAAATATCTTAAAATCTCAAAACAATAAAATAATATTTTTTCAAAAAGTTTGCACTCGAAATTTCAATATATAAACAAACATAATTTGACTTACAATGCCAATCTAATACTAATAATCTCCTCACTAAATTTTATTATATTAATAACTTCATCAAACTTTGGCAAACAAACAGGGAGACCTAATTTGAATGGAAAATTATATGTATCTTTGGTTATGACTTTTGTCATCTTTAGTTATGATTTATTGTGATATTAATTATGATTTATTATTGTGTGAGTGATTTTCTGATCACACTGTCCGTTTAGTAATCAGCTAGAGAGCACTGGCAGAATAGATGGCTTCAGCTAACCTGTAACATAAAGAAAAGGCTCC